GAACAACTTTGTCGATAGGGTGATGGTGGGATCAAGGATTTGTGTTTTTGGCGTGGTTCTCCTGGAGTGGTCACTTCGTCGACGCGACATCCACTCAGACGGTGATCCCACAGATTTGTGCAGCAATCTTCGGGACCAGTCCAAATTGGAATGCCTGGGGTATCTGCAGTACACCGTCTGCGACCGACACTTACTGCAGGAACCCATCGCGATTGGAGCAAGCGCCGAGCCATCGGTTTGTGCCACAGCCATGTATTTGCGCAGCCAGTACGGGGAGCGAGAGGTCTTGCCAGCTAAAGGTGGTATCGGCACGCTCTGCGTTCGGCACAAAATTACAGAGACCATGGTATTACCATTGAGTGTCGCCCTTTCTGCAGTGACTGGTTCCCGTACCCTTGTTCGATTTCTCTTCGAAGAGGGCGCCCTCGTTACAGAGGCATCGTGAGAGGGAGCCCCATGCTGTCTGTAGTGAGGCGATGGTGGCAGGACGTGAACGCTGAACAACCAGAGGCACGGGCAGCTGAGGCGCGTCCTGAGGGGATGGAGCTTGCGGTACCTAGCCAGCGGAAGCGCAGAGCGCCGCCGAGCGCCCACTCCCGTGAGCCTTTGAAGTTGCAGCGCGTTTTCGACCCAATGGAGTTAGTGAGGGCAATCAGGTTCTCAATGCATTTACGTAGTCAGCATGAAATTATTGATGCACTTCGCGCTTGCGACAACTACATCCAGCGTCGCTCCGTCGACGACTTGAAGCACGACGGCGAGTTGGCGCCGTTCATTCGGAAGGAAGATCAGCCGAGCCGTTCGACCCTCGAGCGATCCCGAGCTAGGTTGGATGTGGTGGCTATGTTATGCGAGCGTCGGGAGTTTGAGAGAGCTGCTGCAACAGACGGGCTCATCGACTCGATCCACATTATGACAGATGCGTCGGCGGTCACAGGCACTGAAGTGCAGGGGAGCATTCTGACATTTGTTACACCGATGGGTCAATCGAGCGACGGGTCATGCCTGGGACATCCTTGGTGTGTGGGCAACTTTCTGGGGTACACAGCGATCGCCGTGTTGTGGAGTGCGTGGTTGATAGCTGGTGCGACTGCTAAGTCTTTCCAGTACTTTTTGGACAGCGTCGCGAGCATCACGACGGACATGGGCACCGAGCTGCAGTTGCTAGAGGTGCCCGGCCTCTTGCCAGCACTGCGGGCTTGGATGAGAGGTCGAGGGATTGATACGCTTCACACCTTGGTAGATTCGCGCACATCCTTGTTCAAGTTTGCCTTGCGCGTGCCAGGATGGAACCATATCATGGGAAGCTTGATGAAGCAGGTTTGTAAGATGCACCCTCGATGGCCGCAGTTGCTAACGTCTCCGCGAACATGATGCACTTTTTTGAACTATAAGGAGCACCGACGTCATCTACAGCGTGCGCTATCACACACAGGCTTGCCCGTTGGAGCTTTACTCAAGGAGTTCACTGCGAAGTTGGCCAAGTGGCGGTTCGAAACACTATACGAGGCCCTCGGTCAGCTGCGACCGCTTCGCGAGGCACGCGGCCACATCACATCACAGCTGTTTCCAGAGTCGGGGCAACGTGGAGCTCCAGAGGTTCTGCGCTGCTTGTCGCGATTCATACCTTTGGAACTTTACCGATGCCGTTTACGTCTACGTGATGCAGCCCTTGGAAAAATGCGACGATGGGGGATGAAGTGCAGTTGCTGCGAGGAGAAACGCGCAGCAGGGGTTCGCCATCCACGCTGCATTCGGCAAGGCCGTCGGCTGAAGGAGGCTCGCCAGTGCGTTGCGCAGCAGCGGTCGTTCTTTTTGGACTCGGCCAAGCGAGGCCTCGATCTGGGCATGTGCGGCGGCGAGCAGGATTTGAAGCTGAACGTGGAGACATTGGTCCGCTCTGCTGCCATGGTTATCGATATCAAATTCAAATTCTTGGGATCGCTGCCGTGGGCGTTCGCGAGCGCCGACGGGCAGGACGGTGCTCGCACGTGCTTGCGACTACTCGATGCTCCTGAGCACGTCGATGCGTTGACCCGACACATCGGAGAGACGTTGCGGCGCGACTTGGAGGTCGTCGCCGTCGGCGGGCCGTGTGCGCCAGAGCTGCAGCGGCATGTCAGGAGGATTTGCAACGCCAGCGTGGACGAGTCTGCAGGCGAGGGCTTTCACAGGAGCACCCATCAGGAGGTTGCCAGGGCATCGGCCGCATCGCTCACATATGTCAAGCAATCTTTGCGTTTACGTCAGAACCTCGTCAGAACCTCGACCGCGTGGAGAAGATTGCAATGGACCATGGTCAGGCAGGCATTGTTATGATAAAGTACGAGTGGGACAATTACAAGCGCTTCCTGCAGACCGCGCCATCCCGTGCGCACAGGCCTGTGCGCATGAAGACGTTGCCTTTCTTTCAACGTGTCTATCGCCTAGATGACCAGGCCGCCGAAGACTGGAGTGTCGTCGTGCCTGCGCGACGCGAGAGCCCGTTCTCGCAGCCGCCGCCGCCGCCAATTTCGGAGAGGGAGGCGTTGCAGGACGAGTATCTGGTTGCCATCTTGGAGGAGCGGGGCTACTACAGTTACCAGAATGCCAGCCAGCGCCCCGCCAATCAGGGTGACGGTTTGCTCGAGCCTGTGGTCGAGGAGCCGACCCTGTTCTTCCAGGTGTTGCAGATTGCTCGTGGGTCGTCTCGCCCCCACGTTGTTCGCAGCGCTGCGACCGACACGCATCATGCACCTCGAGCGCCTCTCGCGTTTCTAGTTTAGTATTTCGAGGTGTGGAGGCATGACTTCGCTATTGGCGCATCCATCGCGTACCCCGGCGTGGATCCCACATGGGTCTCCTCCGACCAACTTGCCCACAGTTATCAGGCCTGGTCGGATGCGCGCCGCTATGACGCTCGCCCGAGCGAGACAGAGGCATGCGTGGAGCTGTTCAGTCCAAAGAGGGCTCTACCGCGAATGGCCATTACTGATGAGCGTGCCCCTGTGCTCTGGTTGCGCTCGCTGTTGAGATCCCAGGGTTGGGGGCAACGACAAGCGCGCATCGCTCATGTTCTCGATCCAGCTGCGCTGCTCCAGGTGTTTGACAGTAGGGCTGCGAGGCGCAAGAAAACATATATCCAGGTTCTCCTGGCAGACCTGCCTGCCATGATTGCCCTTGCGGGAGGCACGTTGCCGTCCTCCGAGCCTGTGTTGTTCTACAAGTTGCTCTTGCTCGGCGCACCCGTCCACCCAGGTCGTTCACGCGCAGAGTATAAGGCGATACTGGACGTGAGGGCAGGCAAGTCCATTGGCATTCCCGCGATTGCTGAGCCGCAACCAGCGCAGCTCGAGGATGATGATTTCGTGATTGCGGGCGGCGCCGCGGGGCCAGCGCCTAAGGCGATGCCAGTGCCCGTGCTGGCGGCGTTTGCAGAGCCCCCTCTCCCACCTCCGCCTCGCGCCCTCCTCGCCGCGCCTCCTGCCCCTCCGCCTCCGCCGCCTGGCCCAGCCGATGTAGGCGATGGTGCAGTCATCGCAGGTGTTGGTGCCGCTGCAGCTGCGGCACCAGTAGCAGGTGGCGCACCCCCCCCCCCCCCCCGCTGCAGGCATCGCAAGACGCAAACGGAACTGGAAACCTGCTGTGGGGGGTGCTGAGATTTTTGTAGACAAAGATTACGTGGCGCCAGATGGCCACGCGTATTCTACATGGATGTTTAGGTGTCCTCGCCACCCTAATTGTGAGAAGAAACGGGTCGTTGGCGCTCGGTCCACGGCCAGGCATGGGCCCATCGAGCCGATCGCGTTTCTGCATGTTTGGAGGGATGCTGTCCTCACGGAGGAGACGGCCAAAGCCCATGTAAAGTGTGGGCTTCCCAGCCATGAGAGCGTCGCTTCGTGCGTGGAGAATCACAGGGTCGAGTTTGAAGCGATTCTGAGGTCGTTCGACTAGCACACCAGACATGCACACTGAGCTGGTATAAAACAGGAACTCGAGTTCACGATGTCAGATTAGGCTGACGCCAGCCGCCGCCGAACAAAATCGCCCATCTCGTCGGATGGAAAATGAAAAACATGTTTGAGTTGTTTTGGTTGGGAAGGATGTCGTGGTGCGTGGCCGTGATTGTGCGCATGGCTACTTGCGTATTTGGACCTCCCATGTGCTCTTCCTATACCGCCAACCCACACCCCTTTTGATTGTCTTCTGTGGTTGTATATGCCAGTGCGTATTTTGAACATACACATCAAGTTTATAGCGAGTACATATGTGTAGTTTTCGAGAACATTGGCTCTGAAAAAACGCACATCCCCGGTCTAGCCGGGGGCTGTACAGGGGATGCACAGGGGATGTGCAGGGGATGCACAGGGGATGCGCAGGGGATGACAGGGGATGCACAGGGGATGACAGGGGATAAAGAGGGGATGTCACGAACCCGACAGGGGATGACAGGGGATGCACAGGGGATGACAGGGGATGCACAGTGGATGTGCAGGGGATGCACAGGGGATGGACAGGGGATGGCAGGGGATGAACAGGGGATGCACAGGGGATGCACAGGGGATCAGGGGATGCACAGGGGATGAACAGGGGATAAGCAGGGGATATTCCTGAACTGCTTGGTACAGGTGCCCTCGTCGGTCTCCTGCGGGGGAACGTTGCTCGTTCTGGGGCCTCGTCGTCGGTGCAGGCCGCTTTCTCTCCTCCACCAGGGGTTTGCACGCGCCACTTCTCGCCCCCATCATCCTCCAATCCGCCCCTCCTCCTCCTCGCCGTGCTGACGCGAGCTGGCTTTCCATATGCAGGGTGCTCATGGGCCTGGATGGCGAGGGTATTCTTCCTCAATCCCTCCTCCGCCTCCTCGACCCCTCGACCCCTGCTGCTGACCCTGCCCCCTGCTCGTCCTGGCGTCGGGCCTCATCCCTTCTCATGCTTAGCCATTTTGGCTCAAGAACAAGCACTCAGGGGGGGGCCTGTCGGCGTTGCCTTCCCAGAGCTTGTCAACTCTGCGCCCGCGCAGGATGGGGCGCAAGCAAACAAGGGGTCTCCCTGAGCGCCGGAGGGCGCGGAGGGCCGCGTTGCCATGAGACGATGATGAGCCTCCTCCTGCGAGAAGGAGGCCCTCTGCATCTGAGACGAAGAGGCCGCGCAGGCAGAAGCTTATCGAGATCCCGAGCGACCATGAGGGCGACGCCGCGGCCAGCGACCAGCAGGACAGCGACGAGGATTCTGAGGAGAAGGATCAGGTCATCTGCACCATCTGCGACAAGCCGATCAGGACCGACGAGCGGAGGTTCAGGACCTGCAGGATGCACTACAAGCGCGGCCTCGCCGCGAGGTCGGCCCAGGGCGTCGCCTCGCGGAGCTCCAAGGTTCCAGGGGTCCTGCGTTGGGCGCGATGGGGCCCCAGGGGCCCCAGGGGCCTTCCAGGGCGCGATCGCCAGGGCCCCGCCCCCAAAAGGCCAGCGCGACCAAAAGGTCAGCGGCCGTCTCGCGCGACCAAAAGGTCAGCGCTCACCATTTGGTCGCGCTGACCTTTTGGTCGCGCGTTCCCTCCAGGTTCAGAAGAGCATGAGCAAAATGAAGGAGAAGGACCCCGCCAAGTACAAGGCGATGGCGCTATCCATGGTCGCCTCAGGTCGCCGTTCCGCGGCGAAGGTGGCCAAGTTCAAGTCTGCCATTGTGAGCGTGACTCGCAGCGACAGCACGTTCAAGAAGGCAGGGCGCGTGTTTTGCAACAAGCTGCAGCACGTCGCCCGCCAGCGCTACGTGAACGGCCTTACTAAGAAGCGCGCTCTCAAGATGTGGGCGAAAGACTTGGCAGACAAGGGCGTGTTCAAGCACAAGGTGGGCGACCAGATCCCCATTGCCGCGCCGAAGCAGGCCGAGGTGGAGAGAAAGCAGGGCGTGCACGTCGCAGCAGCATGGGCAGTGCCGTGGCGAAGGATTGCACCCCTGGCGGGCTGCAGAAGCTGATGCACGACGCGACCACGGCAGGGCATCGCGGGGTGGCGGGCTTCGACGACGAGGATGGCGGCATCGACAGCGACGAGATCGGCGACTCTGCGGGCTCCGACGACGCGCCCGAGGAGTCAGAGGAGGAGGAGGAAGAGTCAGAGGAGGAGGAGGAGTCAGAGGAGGAGACCGGTGGCGACGCGTCCAACCTGGAGGACGGCTTGGATGAAGCGAGGGCCCTTGTCAGTGCCCAGCAGCGGCGTGCCCGCGGTGGCGGTGCCCATCGCGGCGATCGCTTTGCAGTCGCAGGTCGGTCGCTTCTCAAGGTGGCGGAGGCGGGGGCGGAGGCGGTGCTCAAGACGCCGACGAAGCCCCCCAGTCGTCCAGACGGGAGTCGCGGCAAGAAGGGTCGGGGCAGCGCCAGCGCTGCCAGCGTGGCCCTGAGTGAGCGGCCCTCTCGTCGGATCCGCGGCAAGACGGCTACCGACGGGGGCGGGGGCGCTCAAGATGGAGACGAGGCCGCCACCTTGACGCAGATTCAGGAGTGCGACGAGGGCGACCCGTACCTGCAGCTCAGCGGCATCGACGTCAAGGGCGCCTGCAAGCCCACGGTCTTCATTAGGTACAAGCGCCTCCTCGCCGCCGTGCTTGAAGGCCATCTCGAGCAGTTCCTGGTGGGCCAGGGGGGGCGTGGGATTACAGAGCTCGGAAGTCATCGGAATCGCGTCGTGCCCTGTCAGGGGCCCCGTCAGGGGCCCAGTGGCTCCCTTACCTCAGGGGCCCCGTCAGGGGCCCTTCGGCTGAACTTCCTGGGCGTTGCCCCCGTGCTTGGGGGCGCGTGGAGTTAATTGCGCGGTGGCTTGGCGTGTCCGAGCGGCGGGGGGCTTCGGAGCTCTGCACTTCCAGCCACTCTGATCCCAGTTGGGCGCGAACGACGAGGGCGCCATCGAGGCAATGACGTCCCTCTTCGGCCCGCTGGGCGACGACTCGGAGGTCCAGTGCCTTGGTATCCCTGAGGTCCTGAACAAGGCGAAGGGCGTCATGGGGCAGATGAAAACCGCGCTTGACGACGTGACGGCGTGGAAGTTGCCTTGCGACATCCCTGGCAAGAGGGCGGCTGTTGAGAAAACGATCGCGCGTTTCGATGCCACTTTCTCCGAGATGAAGGACTACTGCACTGCGCTCCAGGGGGCATTGGCCGAGCAGGCCAAGCGCGACAAGAAAGCAAAGCGGGGGGAGAAGGGGAAGAAGGACAAGATGGCGAAGGCTTACGAAGACCACGGGACCTTCAGATGCATCGCCGCTTTGGTCCCAGCTATGATATACACGGAGAAGAGCGCGGGCGACGACGGCAAGCCCGATGCGTCTGTCGGCGAGCCTGGCGCCAGCACCCCGTGCCAGCCCTTCGAGTTCGAGTGCATTACCGACGGCGGCAAGATCGACATGGACAGCTTCACGAAAGCGAGGTCGTTCTGGTTGAAGGATTGCTCGCATTGGCACAGCGAGCTGCGGTCGCACGCCGAGAAGAATGAGAAGCTCATCAAAGAGAAGAAGGAGAGGCTCCTGCCCCAGTTCGCCGACTGCAAGGGGACCCACGTGAGCATCGTGCTGACCAAGGGTGACCAATACGAAAAGTTCAACTTCAACCCGAAGGACAAAGAGGTGTTCACGGTTGACCCTGTTCCGCCTTCAAACTTGGTGCTGCAGCGGACAATGGTGACCGACGTTTCGTCGCAGGTCTTCCCCTTGCGCGGGGCCCCGCACTTCATCACGGTGATCGAGGGCCTCATCATGTTCGTCATCGTGTCCAGCGAGGCAGTCGGCCAGAACATCGTGAAGTACCTCGAGAATGGGAACGGCAAGAGCTTGCTGAAGGCACCGTGCTTTCTGCTGAAGCAGGGCCAGTCGGTGTGGGTGCCGTTCGGGAACGCCCCCCTCGTGGTCGGGATTGAGCCCGAGGGTCTGCGGGGCCGTGCTCTCGCAACCAGGGCTTTTGGGGGCCGAGGCTGGGGCCGATGGATGCGCCCCCCGCCTTCTGGAGGTGCGGTCATGGGGCTTCGGGGGGGGGGGGGGGGGGCCTCGGGACTTCAGGGAGCTGGCCGCGGGGCCTCATGATGGGGTCCTGGGGCCTGGGGGGCGGAACAACTCCTCATCCCCAGCGTTGGCAGCCGGCGGGAACAAGTGCATCCCGCCGACTCGCGACGCTCAGGATGAGGAGGGGGCGACCCTCGCAGGATAGCAGCATATTCGAGCCTGGCTACAAGTTTGCCAGCAAGGGGAGCAACGGCAAGGAGAAGGGCGGCCCGTCCATCGTCTCCTACATCCAGACGTTTGTTCTGGACGCCAACCTGAAGGGGAACGACAGCGACGTCCGCGCTGACGCGGCAGCCTCAGTCACGCGCGGCATGCCGTCGCTGCCGAAGGTGCTGAACAGCAGCCTCGAGAAGATCAAGGAGTGGACGGCGGCCATTCTCTAGATCCGCCGTCTTGCGAGGGCTGCTCGCTCGAATGAGGATGGCGAGGAGGAGGAGGAGGAGGAGGAGGAGGAGGAGGAGGAGGAGGAGGAGGAGGAGGCGGAGGAGGAGGAGGAGGAGGAGGTGACGAGGAGGAGGACGATGAGGAGGAGGAGGAGGGGGAGGAGATGACGAGGTGGAGGAGGGCCAGAGTTCGAGCCGAGCGAGTCTTCGCGCCTGCTCGTTTAGCCCCGCCCGGCCTAGTCCTCCTCGTCCTCTTCCTGCTCCTCGTCCACTTCGTGTGTCGTCCGCATCCTCTTGACTCCTCTTTCTCCCTCCCCACCTCCTCCCGCCCCTCCTCCGAGCGGGGCGCGCCGAGCGGGGCGCCAGCTCCCCGCTTCTTTTCGGTGGCCGCGTGGATGAGGCCGTGGGCAAGGCCCAGACGCGGGAGCTCAGGGGTCGAAAAGTGGGCAACAAACGGCGTTCGGAGGATGAGGATGAGGCAACTCAGAAGGAAATTGTGAGGCAGGAGGCGGAGGAGGAGGGAGGGAGGGAGGAGGGAGGGAGGGAGGCGGAGGGAGGGAGGAAGGAGGAGGGAGGGAGGAGGGAGGGAGGAGGAATAGGAGTCTCCTCGACCGTGTCCTCCCTCTCGTCTGCTCGACCCCCTTGCTGCCCCCCCTCCGTCGCCACCTTACTTCTCAAAGCTACTTTCTTGCTCACGGCCACTTCAATGGTCAACGCCACTCCACGGCTCAAACCCACTTTACTGATCAAAACCACGCTCCTGACAAACTTGTGTTTTCCAGTACGAACGGCAACGTTTTCGATACATCCCCTGCGGTTCGCCCTGGCGTCGGGGATGTAGCGGGGATGAGGCGGGGATGTCAGGGGATGCGGGGGGGGGGGGTGTAATGGGAGGGCCTCGGGGTGATCCCAGGGTGGTTCCTTACGGGGGGGGGACATCAGCTGCTGTTTGTAACACTGGGCCTTATCAGCCGAAGGGCCACCTCCAGCGAGGAGGTTCACGACGCCTTCCCGAGTTGGGGATAGGGAGAGAAGGGGGACCACACTACCAGAGATACCTCTCTGAGCTCTTCTTGCTGGTGGTCCCTCGTAGTGTCGGGCTCGCTTCTCCTTGTTCCTACACGACGAGGGTGAGGCAGAATTGCCGAGTGGGTGCCGCGACAGTCGGGATTGGGGGGATTTTGAAGAGCAGCCCACGCTCGAGCGAGGCCCTCGAATACGCCACAAGATTCTCACTCACACCCCCAGCCCCAGCACCCCGCCTGTCAGGGATGATTTCGGGTGCCGCCAGGTTCGGGGGTGACATGCCTCCTGCAGGTTCCTCGTCGCCACGGCTGCACCGAGATGATGGTCGGCTTCCGCACAAGCCAAGGAGGGGTCCTGAGGCCGACGTTTGGGGGGCTGGACCAGGGGATCACCATCATTCGCAAAGGTGGTCCTGATGGAAGGGTGACCGGCGGGTATTTCGCCGGTCCCAGCTCCCAGAGACTTTGTTTGGCTGTAGGGCACTCAGAGAAGGACTCATCACGAAAAAGTGCTGATCCAAGGGAATACTTGTGGGGTCCTTGCCTGGACATGGCCCCGTTTCCAGGAACGCAGCACCGCCTGAGATTCCATTGCCACGGTCAGTGCATGTAGGAGACGGACTCGTATTGAATGGCCCCTCTGAGTTCTCGTTCAAGCTTCATGTTGGATCGTGCCGGGCCTGATTTCATCATATGTTCTTCTTTAAGGCATACCTCGATCCTCGGTCCTATTTCGAATTTATTGCTCTCGATCCTCGATCCTCGTTCTCCCCTGCCTCCATTCCCGTCTTACAGATGTCAGCGATTATCGGTGCCCCTCCTCCTCCTCCTCCTTCTCCTCCTTCTCATCCTCCTCCTCCTCTTCCTTCCTGTTTTCCTGCTCCTCCTCCTTCGCGAAGTTCGGTGGCTCAGATCGCCTACCCCCTCCCTCCATGGGTGATCTCTGAGCTCGCTGCGTGGCTGTTCTGCCGTGGGAGTCCGCAGGAGCCCCTCCTCCCCTCTGGTCGCACAGCGACGGCCGGGGCTGGTTCAGGCTTGGGAGGCCGTCCGCGAAGCCACGCTCGATCCGCAAGAGTCCTCCGCAAGGGTCCAGCCAATCAACCAACCAACCGACCAACCATGGAGGCGGTGTTGGCATGGCCCTGCTGGGCTTGCTCCCCGCCGCCTCCCCCCTCCGCCTGCCATACACTCCCCCCCCCGCAGCGGGGCGTATGTCTGGGCGCCCGCTGCCGGCGTGGGAGCCGCCCTGAGCGAGGAGCGCCGCGCGGACAGAGAAGGCGCGCGCCGCGCGCCGCGCCTGGGCGTGGAAGGAGACAAAAACGGCAGGACTTGGCTACAAACCTTCGGAGGTCCGCGAAGATTTCTTGGGTCTGCGGTGGGCCCCCGTGGAGGCGCCTCCAGCGCTGCGCCTGGCGCGCTCTTTGCGCCAGGGAGGGGGTCCACGCGGACCTCCAAAAGTTTTTGCCTACGCCGATTTGGGCTTCTCTTTGCGGGAACAGGTGGATGAGGAGGAGGAGGAGGAGGAGGCCCGAGGCTCCAGGTTTGATTATGCCGCTCGATCCGTACCACGGTTTCCGGCATTGCCACGGTCGTGCCAGAGATGCATGAAGCCGTGGGGGTGGGCAGGTTGGCGTTGTGCGCCGCGCGCGCTCACGCCGTGCACGAGAGTTTTGCACGCATGGGTCCGCCATCACCTTGCTAGAGGCGCAGAGTCGCAGGGACCAGCGTCCTGTGGAGGAGCAGCAGGGGGAGGACAGCGAGGAGGAGGAGGCGCAAGAGGAGGAGGAGGGACCGCAGCAGGTGGAGCAGCAGCAGCAGCATTTGGAGGACAGATCGAGGAAGATCAGTGGGTGTGGGAGGTGGAGGTGGAGGATTGGCATCAGGTGGAGCAACAACAGCGCTTAGAGGATGGATCGAGGAAGGACCGCAGCAGGAGGAGGACCAGTGTAAACCCAAGACGCGTCAACGATGTTGCAGCTCACCCTCCCCCCAAGTTTGCTGTTTACAGGTCAGTACAGTAATTTCGTGCGTTGTCATTGCGGAAAGCGGCCCACTGGCAGATAACCGTCAGAGACCTTTCAATCGCATCGGATCACGATATTTGAGACCTTAATGCCGCGACTCAGCGTAACTGTTGCGTCCTGCCAATACTAACGGTTCCAGGGCACCATTACTTGCACTTCAATGAAACGAACCGTAGAAGTCGTTTAAGACGAGTGTGCGACGTGCTGATGCGAGAGCCACTTTTTGAAAACTTGCCGCCTTCCATTCTTGAAATCACTGCCGCTGAGGCGAGAGCCACGGCTTGAAAGCCAGCCACCATCCATCTTTGAATTTGTTGCAAAATTGTAAGACGAGAGTTGGCGGCGAGAGGGCGAGTGCCACATTCAAAAAACCAGCCGCCCTGCAGATTACAGATGTAAAACCGCGGCGCACTCTCAAGACGAACGTGCGTGGCGCGACGGTGAGAATCACATTTTGAGGACCCGCCGCCCTCCACCCTTGACGCGGTTGCAGATTCACCAATTCTTGACGCTTCGCGTATCCCCACCAGTTTACTCTTTGGATAGACGTCCCGCTCGGAATCGTTCCTACCCGTTCGTTCTCGTTCTGGCGGGAACGCCTCGCGCGCCATTTTGGCTGCGCTCGGCTTTCCTCGGTGGCTGTTCTCAGACTCCCTGGATGTGCCGTTGCATGTTCCTTTCAGGGGCTGCCCTGCAGATTCCCTGGATCTGCACGCTTTGGCTCAGACGCCCTGGGTCGCTGCTGCTTGCCGCCTGACCGCGGCCCCGCGCGCGCCCGCCCCCTTGTCGCGGCCGCAGCCCGACCGTGACCGCCTGCCGCTGGCGCTTCCGCTTGCGGCTGTAACAAAAAAAAGTATCCCCACCAGTGTTCGCATCCATTCGCGGCTGTCTCCTGGACCTGGCGTGCTTGGTTCGGTTTGACACCACGAACTCCACGCCTTTGGGCTGTGTGGGTGCGTACTCTGAAGCTGCGACGGTTCGCTGGCGCTGTCAGAGCCTACCCTTTCGTACGGGATGCCGACTGACGACTGCTCGTGTGTCTTTCGGTTGATGCTTGTGCATGGCAGGTCCCCTGGATCCCGTCGCACTTTATTCCCGCCGAGGTTGGGGACTTTCTCCTGTTCAGTTAGTGTCTCAGACCGCATTTGTTCTGTAGCCTCTGACACGGTGGGGGTCTTGCATCGCGCCACGTTGGCAGCGTAATTACTTCTCCATGGGTGCTGGTTTCGCCATCGGACTCCCTGGGCAGCAGCACCCTTGCACCCGCCGCCCGGCGCCGGCCGCGGCACGCGCGCGCCCCCGGCCAATGTGTAGCGGCCGCAGCCCGACCGTTACCCGCCGCCGCTGGCGCTTCCGCCCGCGGTTGTATAAAAAATATCCCCACCAGCCCATCCAGAAACGATGTCCAGGCAAGTTGAAGAGATAAGGGAAGTGGGGGAGCAACGAGAGGGACAGCCGATCCGTGCAAAGGATGAGGCGGAACAGGAGGCCAGATGGATAGATGAGGGGGTGGCGAGGAACCGAGCGAAGGAGGGATGAGGAGAATGATGACGCTGGGTGGATGGTTGAATGCCGCTCGGATGCCTCTTGGAAGCCTTTTGGAAGCCTCTTCGGGCGTCTTGGGGGTCTCTTGGCGGTCAATGGGGGCTCTTGGGCGTCTTGGGTGCTTCGGGGGGGCCTCTTGAGGCCGCTTGGGATCCTCTTGGGGGGCTCTTGGGGGCCTGTTGGAGGCCTCTTGGGGGTCTCTTGGAGCTTCATGGCGGCCTCTTGGAGCCTCTTGGAGGCCTCTTGGAACCATCCTGGGGGCCTCTTGGAGCCTCTTGGGGGCTTCTTGGGGCCTCATGGCGGCCTCTTGGGGCCTCTTGGAAGCCTCTTGGGGCCTCCTGGGCGCCCTTTGGGGCCATCTTGGAAACGATCGATCAAAGAAGAGGGTGGAGTTAATTAGCCCTGC